CGAATTTGCTCCCGTGTGAGCCTCTGGTCTCAATCTCAACAATGGCTGCATCTAACACTCCATACTATTGACGCCTGGCCGACATTGTCCAGATATGATAGGAGCCAAATTTGCTCCACACGTCTCGGAGGTGACACAACAATGGCTCCCTCCTTCCTCCCTGACGCCTGGCTTACATTGTCCAGATTTCAGAAAGTGATAGAAGGGTCACATTTACTCTACTTTAATATTGATAATTAAGTTAATTTATATAAGATGTTTTTATGATGGTAAAGTCCAAAGACTAATGTATTTAAGAATAATTCCCAGCAGAATAGCTGGTGAATTATAATAGTATGTGGTGATGATATCCCGTTTTCTTTAGACGGTAATTCCACTACAAGTTACGTTTTCTATGGGTAACTTGCTTATACAATACAGCTATTATCTGTATGATTATTAAATGGTGTCGGATTTTCCGACATAATGTCCCAGGGGGCTGCTCACGGGTCGAAGTCCTATTTAGAACAGACGAACACCGATACTCCTCCTTCGAATTATTAGATTAATTTGATGTTAGTAGTTAGTAATCACACATTTGTGCGTCTGTTCGTACAGGATGGATGTCCCGTACTAGAGTTGCAGGGGTTAGAAGTCTAATGTGATTTCATTTCCCTGTCAACTCTTGAAAGGCTAATATTCAAGCCTTATTACATATTATTTAACCCAGAAGACTGGATGTGATCAAGTACTACAGTCAAGTATGATTCAGGGACTGCAGTGAGATCAGTGACATAGATATAACTTGAAGTTTGTTCAGGTAACTGGTCACTGATATATAAACACTGAGGCCCATGGAATGCATCTTGATTAAATAATAAATGTATCAAATCAGTCATCAAATTTATTGGGGTTTAATTTAGTTAATTGATTCAGAAGATTGAATAGCTCATCATTAAAGTAAAGTATGGTTCTGAGACTGCAGTGGGTTCAGTGACATTGGTCGCAGTGACTTGTAGCTGTTTAAGCTACTGTTCACTGATTTGCCACTGAGGCCTCATGAACTCAACTTCAGCTTTATATGATGATACTAACATCAACCTCTGTTGGTATAGTCAGCTGTAATCTCCTTAGTATAATGCTACTGGAGAAATATAATCAGCTGACAAATTTAGATTTCTACTGGTATTGTTTATCTGCAGGCATAGGTCTCCTCAGGCTTGATACTGGGCCTGAGAGTAATTTACCTCCTGCAGAGTTTAACATGGTTATACCCTGATATTTAGTAGGGCTACCGATGAATTGATGGTAGTAGTCTGTCCCCACAAGGACAGCCATTTGGCATTTGATTTGCTCAAATTTACCTGCAGCTGCTTGATAATAGCTTTCCAGGTCAGCATAATCAACTGTTGATTGTTGTGACAAATCTTCACATTTCTTGATCTGTCTTGTTAAATGGCCTTTAAGACCTGCAAGGGTTCTTTTCATTCTCCCTGCATTATCCATACTGGCTCGTTGGTGAAGCCTTGTGGGACTTGTACTTGGGCTGCTCATAATACTGAACAAGCTCTAATGGTAGCCTAGGGTAAATTCTGAACTCACTAGGCAATAATCCTACCTCTACTAGAGGTTAGCACTTAAAATTAATACACATTATATATATACAATCATACACACTAATGATTTGAGTGATAAACCAGTGTCAAAGAAGTACCTTTAGGTTAGCTCTTCTATATCACCCTAGGATCGTAGAGACACTAATTAATCACTCAAAGGTGTAATGATCATAAGTAAATTATTATATATACAACTCAACTCGAGTTGATAAAAATTACACCCAAAATAGGGTCTGGACCATTCATTAATGGTGCTAGGTTAATCAATATAGTACAACTGACTATGGTAATAATGGGACTAGGATGAACGATAATAGTTCAACTAGTCAATGGTTTTATCCTACCCTGTTGTGGGTTGGCAATTAGTAAATATTATACTGTGATCACTAGTGCAATATATATTAAATAATTCTCTATCTTGGAGAAATAATATACACAATTATTGATAATAGCCTCTATGAAACTTCTAATATTATCAAGAAGTATTAAATATTATTAGTGACCTCGCGAAATAAACTCCACAAAATTCGTGGATAATCTCTCGCGAAATGTAACACCACGAAATCCGTGAACAATCTTGCGAGGACACAGCCACTAATTTGGCTGGCTTCTATATTAGCGCTGTCATTTCACGAAATAACACGCCACCAAATATCTGTGGGTGTGCATGAAACCGCTGATGAGGCTGAACTCAGTTGAGGGGGGGCTCCTGAGCTCCCACGAGGCTTCGCCGCTGTCTTTGACTGGCTGGCCTTGTTTAAATCACAATGCACTAGTATATTTAATGAATCCACTGGTTAACTGGTTCATCCGGTACTAAGATGACCAAATGTGGGTTCAAAGGATCAAATAATCCGTCATCCGGTTCGAAGATGACCAAATAATGTGGTAACCGATCTGTGAGATTTATATTTATTTAATTTATATGAATTTATATTTACGTTAATTTATATACTTCGATAGCAATTTGTATAATGATAAGTAGACTGTATTTCTGCAATAATCTCTTAATCTCACAAATCGATCCTCTACACATTAGGGGGGTTTATTAAATTATATATATGCAGCCAATCAAACTACAGTAATAGACTACATACTATTAAACATTGAAGAGGTTCCTTATCTTATAGTACAGCAGGTTAGTCCACCAGGTATAACTAGGGTGTAGACACCAAATTATCCTCTTTCAGGTAGCTTCCATCACCCAGTAACTGGTGCACAAAATCTTCCTCGTCTTGACCTGTCAAAAGGGCGCTAGCTGTAAAGCCAGATACCTATATATGACAAGCTATATCAGAGAAAATACTGTACATGGAACATTGAAGACCTGGCTTAATTACCTTTAGTATGAGGCGATTTCGCGTTCTAACCGGCTAACCCTACCCAATGACATTAATGGCCACTAATGATAGATAATGGGTTTCGGAAAGAACACTTAACTTGATTTGATGACAGCGTGTTGAAAATGGTACACTTTTGGTTTCCATAACACTACGTCCAAGTAAATTTAACAGGAGCCGAATTTGCTCCCGTGTGAGCCTCTGGTCTCAATCTCAACAATGGCTGCATCTAACACTCCATACTATTGACGCCTGGCCGACATTGTCCAGATATGATAGGAGCCAAATTTGCTCCACACGTCTCGGAGGTGACACAACAATGGCTCCCTCCTTCCTCCCTGACGCCTGGCTTACATTGTCCAGATCTCAGAAAGTGATAGAAGGGTCACATTTACTCTACTTTAATATTGATAATTAAGTTAATTTATATAAGATGTTTTTATGATGGTAAAGTCCAAAGACTAATGTATTTAAGAATAATTCCCAGCAGAATAGCTGGTGAATTATAATAGTATGTGGTGATGATATCCCGTTTTCTTTAGACGGTAATTCCACTACAAGTTACGTTTTCTATGGGTAACTTGCTTATACAATACAGCTATTATCTGTATGATTATTAAATGGTGTCGGATTTTCCGACATATTTGAACCACCCCACCGCCGGCACTCGGATAGTAATCTTGGGCATAGCATTTTACCAAATCACCTCATTCTTTGGGGCACACGTGAGGAACTCAAATGCGAACAAGCCTGAATGGTCCCCAGGACAATATGCAACTGAAAACTCACACCCCAGAAGTGACTCGAACCCATACTCCCAGGAGCAACGCAACTGGTATGTACAAGACGCCTTAATCCACTTGACCATCACGACCGGACAAAATGAGGTGCTAGCCTAAGCTATTTGAACCACCCCACCGCCGGCACTCGGATAGTAATCTTGGGCATAGCATTTTACCAAATCACCTCATTCTTTGGGGCACACGTGAGGAACACAAATGCGAACAAGCCTGAATGGTCCCCAGGACAATATGCAACTGAAAACTCACACCCCAGAAGTGACTCGAACCCATACTCCCAGGAGCAACGCAACTGGTATGTACAAGACGCCTTAATCCACTTGACCATCACGACCGGACAAAATGAGGTGATAGCCTAAGCTATTTGAACCACCCCACCGCCGGCACTCGGATAGTAATCTTGGGCATGCCCAATATATATATATATATATATATATATATATATATATATATATATATATATATATATATATATATATATATATATATATATAAGTGGCGCTGCCACCCACAGGGAAGCAGCCAAATCCCGTATGTATAGAGAACTGGATCACCACTACAATTTTGTCCCCATTGCTTCTGAGACACTCGGCGCCTGGGGTAAAAGTGCTACCAGTTTTTTGAAGGAACTGGGTTCTAGGCTCATTGAAACAACAAGGGACCCAAGAGCTGCAAGCTTTCTTTTCCAGCGCCTCAGTGTGGCGATACAGAGGGGAAATGCGCACTGCATCCAGGGTTCCTGCCCGCCATCTGAGGAGCTGGAGGAACTCGACAACCTATGATAAATCTTTGTAACCCATATGTAACTCCTTTTTTGTAACAAAGTTCAAATAAAGTAAATATATATGTGTACATACAAAAGAATGGGGGTGGTAGGAGAAGATAATATTAGTGTTCAGTGAGAAACCACAAGGTCTCCTCTGAATACTTTTTATTTTCTTCTCCGTGGCTATGGGTCCCCACATTGGCACCAGAGGCGGTACCCTCACAAACTTTAAAAAAAAAAAAAAAAAAAAAATATATATATATATATATATATATATATATATATATATATATATATATATATATATATATATATATATATATATATATAATGTTAAAACTTGAGCAAAGTAAAACTTGAAGAACATTCCACTGCCATGGATGTTTTATTGAGAATAGACTGTTTCATGTTATCTACTTTCCAATGTTCTCTTTCTCTGTTTGTTACTTTATTCAGGGATACTTGTTATGTCAATATATATACTGTGTATTCTGTGAGAAAATTATTAGTGTACATGAATTTAATTTAAAAATATCTGATTTTTCATTTCAGATTTCAAGATGTGGAAACCACTGAGGTGCTGTTGCTTCAAGTTACGGACTGGAAGTCTTATTATTGGATTCCTGTCCATGGTAAGAACACCTCAGTTCTCTTGGCAAAGTAATCATCGTGAAGACAAGTGTGGGGAAACTGACTTGTGGGATTTATTCATTTATTTACAATTTATATTTTTATTAATTTACTAGATGTACCCGGCCACGCGTTGTTGTGGCTCAAGAATAAACAGTGAGCCACAGCAACCCATCCCTGTCCCCCCCGTCCTCGTCACCATTTCCCTTATCCCCCGTCCTGTCGTATTCCCACCCATTCCCCACTCCCCCATCCCCTCGTCCTCTCCACAATTCTCTCTCCCCCGTCCCGTCGTCCTCCCTACTATCCCCCACTCTCCTGTCTCCTTGTCCTCCCCACCATTCTCCACTCCCTTGTCTCCTTATCACCACTATCCCACACTACCCCGTCCCCCTTGTCCTCCCTACCATTAACCCCTCCCACGTCCCCCTCGTCTTCCCCAGCATTCCACACTCCTCATCCGATGCGTTCCTAAATGATCTGATGTTCCTATCAGAAAAATGGGAACATCAAATGATCTAACAGTCCCGTCACTAAAAGTTAAGAAGAACGGTTAAAAAACGAAATGAAAAAAACAATTAAAAAATAAACAAATAAATAATACTCACGAAATGAATGGTATGGTAAACAACATGGGACAATTCCAACTCAATTTCACACAAAATAATAAGCATGTATATAGTAGGTATATAAAAACACGCGTGTATTCAAATGCAATGCTGTGTCAAAATGTCCAAACAATCAGTAAAGAAGTTTCCGAGATTTCTCTTACATAAAAACTCACATAAAAAACACAGTTTATCAAAAAAACACGTTTTTACTTGTCATTTTTTATTTATATAGATATAGTTATTTATTTTATGTTATTTTATTTATTTCGATAGTGGACTGTATGATTTAAATCTCCTCAAATAGTTTCCAACACATTCTTGGGGGGGGGGGGGTATTAAATTATATATATAGTCTGTCAATCAAAATTATTGATCTGTAGATTTTCACTTCAATATTAGACTATATATATTAGTAATTAAAATTAAAACAAATACAGCTTATCTGTATTGTTATTATGGCTTGGTCAACCAGATATTAACACGAATGAACACAAACTGATACACCTTGTAAGTGAAACTAGAGTTCTTCTCAGGTCACATGTTGTACCAGGTAAATTCTTCTTATCCTTCAATTACACCTGTCAAAGAGCACTCACAATAATAATCATAACCTATATGTGACAGCTATATCAGGGGAAAAATTGGTAATTTATTGGATAAGATTTAGGTAATATTTACTCTGGTTGTTCACCATGCGTTCTCACCGGTATCCCTAATCTATCTAACGTTACTGGCCAGTAATGAAATAGATATAAAGGGTTTCGGATTAAAAACACCTCCCTTATAGTAGACAAAGATCGTGCTGATGATAGAAGCTCTTTACATCCCATAACACTACGACTAGAGGGAAAATTGTGTGGAGCTTGATTCTTGCTCTAGTGAGACTTGTTGTTATGTTGAAAATAAATATGGCGTCTGCTGGCCTCCCTCCCTCCCACTGACGCATTTCGTTGTTCTCCCAGTTGCGTTGTATCAAGAAGTGGAAAGAGGGCCCGCATTTAATCTATTTTAGTACTGATAATTAATAAGAGTACTGATAATTATTAATTATAGATAATTGAGTTGGTTCAAGGTAAATGATTTTGTGATGGTTACAGTCCAAAGACTAATGTATTAAGAATAGTTATCATTATTATAGATGGTAAATACAAAGGCCACATATGGTAATGATATCCCCGCTTTCTTCCGAGGAAATTTCCACTGGAGCTTCATTTTCTTTGAGTTAATTTGTAAATACAAAACAGTAGCAATATTATATGCCTATTGTATTAAATGTTAGTAAATGATGTCGGTTATTCCGACAACAATGTGATCCTTGACAAGACAAGGTAATCCTTAACGAGACAAAGTCGTCGGTGAGGGAATGGAAATTCCCTCAGCTAGTTTTTCTAGTTTTCTAGATTAGGCTAGAGTCGCTCTAGGACTCTAGACAAGACGTTTTCACACTACCAGCACTTGTGTGGTGTTGGATGAAAGCTTATGCTAAGGACCATCGTTTAAGACTAGCCATGGGTCTCTGACTGCTCTGTAGAGAGAGAGTTACAGAATTTAGTATGTGTGGTATGAGAGGGTACTTCCACTCGCTAGCCAATGGTTTCATGGGGGGTGGGGGGACAGAGGGTTGAACGTCGCCTCCCTCACCTAGGCCTCCCTCGCCTTGTGACGTCACGGGACGCCTCAAGGCGTCTCGTCTGTGATTCGTCTAGGCATTTCAGCCTCGAGGTGATGTTTAGGCGTGAAAGGCGGTGATTCGTAGCGGCATGATAGGCTGTGCCGGCTTTCCTCTGATTGGTCAAGACAAGGTGGGGGGAAATGGGCATCTTTTGAGTACCCTAGCCCGCCAAAAGTCAGTCTAGGACCGGATCGTGTTGAAAAGGAGTCCCCATGTGGGGGTGGCATGTTTGCCACCTCCACCACCGTTAATCGCTGTGTCATCCATATTACTCATCGCGCACGGTAATCCTGCCATCGTGGGTCGTGTCTGGATCCAATTTGAGTGATCTTGTGCCAAGGAGTAAGGAAGGAACTGTGAAGGACTCTAGAGGACAGTGTTCACCCATGAGGCACCCAGGCAAGCCTCGTGGTGTATCAGTTGTTGTTGCAATTCCAAGTGGTGGAATTGGGCAAGGCTTCCTAGTGTTCCTGAGAGCGTAATATTTGGGAAATTTCAGGCCCTGTTGGACTTTGAAATTCTACCTTGCCGTGTCGGCCATGTTGTATCGCCCGCCATTATCACACCAGGTGTACGAGCAAGCCCGCTCGTGGTGTGTGTGTGTAGGCGTGTAAGTGAATCTTCCACACACGTAGGGTACGCCTAAGGCTTCCAGCCAGCCTGAGGCAACCCCATGTGCGCGCTGCACTGCTCTGTGGCCAGACACCGTGGGACCACGCGATGGCCACACCCTGGCCACATGCCTGTGGGCCACACCGGCCACACTGTGAGCCACCCCGCGCGCCCCCTCCTCCAGGGCGAGGCGCCTTGACCGCCTCGCGCTCCTCATGGCCACCCTCTTAGAGCCATGGGGTGGCCACACATGCCTAGGCCACTCCTAGTCGTCACACATGGGAGCGAGCTAGGTGTTCTTCAGCAGTCAGTGCTTCAGCAAGTGAGGCTGTGACCGGGGAATGAATGTAAGGAGAGTGGTAACGTGAGTACTTATTATTTTGTAATGTAAGTTACAGTGTCTCAGGACTGATGTTAACTCCGGTACCAGCTATGTTGTCCCATACTGCCTGCCAAGCGAGGGAAGCAGCTGAGAGGCAGTTGTCTGTACTGACGTCTTGGTGACTGTCTGTGGTATGACGTGAGGGTGTATGTTATACACAGAACCACACATGTAGATGTATACTAGATATATTTTGTGTGTAGACTGACTCAAGAATGTAAACCGGTCAGTGTAGAGATTTTTTTTCCATATAAGTGATCGTTGATCTGTCGATTCAATATATATCGTTCAGAGTCAAGATTAATGCCATGTTGCCGCATGTTAATATAGTATATGTGTAATTTTATGTTGTTGTGATGCATGATGGGTTGCTATTTGATTTATGGTAATTGATTAGTGTATGTACCATTTCCATGTGTTTCATTTGCATATATATTATTATGGTGTTTTGTGGTGAGTCAGTAATTGTGATTGCTGACTGATTGCATAGTGATGTCATTAGCATGTGGGGTATGCTGACAGCATCATTATGTTTGAGTGTTTGGGCAGTGTTGAAATTGTATACGTTATATTGCTGCCCTAGGGAGATGCTTCGCCATCTCCCTCCGTGCACGTCTCAGTATTTACTGAGTCTGTATAATCGGATCTGGGAGTCGTCGTCAGTCCCTGAGGACTGGCTCGATGCCGTTGTCCTCCCTGTTCGCAAACCGGGGTCTCTGGCTACTTCCCCTAAGGACTTTCGCCCTATTGCCCTCACAAGTTGTGTCTGCAAACTCTTTGAACGTATGGTTAACGCTCGTCTGATGTGGTTCCTGGAACACCATCACCTCCTTTCCCCTTCTCAATTTGGTTTCCGCAAGTGCAGCAGCACGACAGATGTCCTGGTGAACTTGGAGGTCTATATTCGTACTGCTTTTGCTGCGAAGATCTCCGTTGTTGCCGTCCTTTTTGACCTGGAAAAGGCTTACGGCACCACTTGGCGATATCATATTCTATCTCAACTTCATTCTTTTGGCCTTCGTGGTCATCTCCCTCTTTCTCCGCAGCTTCCTCTCTCGTCGTTCCTTTCGGGTGCGCCTTGGTACTGCTCTCTCTGCCTCTTTTCAGCAATACGAAGGTGTGCCCCAGGGTAGTGTTCTGAGGACTACTCTTTTTCTGGTTGCCCTCAATGGTCTTCTTTCCTCTCTTCCTTCAGGTGTCTTCTCCGGTCTCTATGTCGATGATCTTACCCTTTGCTGTCAGGGTGATGATTCGCCTCTCCTTCAGCGCCGGCTTCAACTTGCAATTGATGCCGTGTCGTCTTGGGCCACCGATCATGGCTTCAAGTTCTCTACTTCTAAGACTTGTGCCATGACTTTTACGCGGAAACGGGTCGTTCTTCGTCCCTCTTTGTCACTTTATGGTCATCCCCTTGAGTACAAAGATTCCGCGAAGCTTTTGGGGTTATTCCTTGACACTCGTTGGCTTGGTCTCCCCATATCTCTTACCTCCGTGTTGAGTGCTCTAAGGCCCTTACCCTCCTTCGGGTCTTGTCCCAATACTTCTTGGGGGGCAGATAGGCGCACTCTCCTTGCTTTACATTCCTCTCTCGTCCTGTCTAAGCTCGATTATGATTGCCCTGCTTACTCGTCTGCTTCTCCTTCTGCTCTTCGCCGTCTTGATGCTTTGCACTATACTGGGTTGCGCCTCAGCTCTGGTGCCTTTCGTTCGACTCCCGTCCTCAGC